ACACACATACACACACACACAGCCATATATATATGTGTGTGTATATATATATACACACACACAGCCACAATATATATGAAACTATACCCAGTGCTTCCTAACTGCAGTTCACAGATCACCACTGTGGATGTATCCTGAAACAGGCGGCCAGAGAGATCTGTGAAGATCTGGCTGCCACCAGACCCATCCTGGATTCTACAATGGGCTGATTATATACATTAATCTGCCTGTTTTTACTTCTGTTTTGCCCAAGGGTTAGGCCCTTTGTCTGGAGATGGTCTGTAATGGCGGGTAAAGCCATGGTGCCTCAGAGGACAAGAAAAGACGGATATAAGCAACTATTTATTTGAAACTCTTGTTAATTTCCTTTGTTACCAGCCTGACTGGCTCCATTCTGATAGCCATTGTTTTGGGGCCCTGCCTCATTCAGTGGATTAAAAAAAAAAAAAGATTACAGACCACAGAACAGATGACGGTCGTAAAGGAAACCACCAAGTATGAGATGGCAAATAGGATAAAGGACTATATATGTAAGAAAAAAAAGGAAAGTATGTCCTGGGGTGGGGGGTGGGGTGTTGGGGCAAGAGACTCTATTTTAAAGGAGAGTCACTTAAGTTCATCTTAAACTACAGATAAACTCACTCCCTTACCTCCTAACATGTAGCTAACCATAAACCCACCTAGAGAAATCCAGGGTCATAAAACCTGCATAAATAGTTAAGACAATTTGGGGAATAGGGCAAACATTAAACCACACTGCCCCATGATAGGGAAGAGTCAACAGTGTCTGGGAAATATAAACATTCTTGTAAAATTCCTGAAAATGAGGTAACGAGGTTACTATGGAAACCCAAAAAATATGTAAATTGAAAGCAAAGTTCAGGTGTGCAATACAAGCTTTCTTGTTCCTTCCCACTTGGTCTCTTACGTGGGGGCTTATCTTTGCCCGGTGTCATCTACTGCTACGTTACTAGCAGAACAAAACCAATCTACATTCTCTGTAGTTAATGCACTAATGCTCTAACATGTGCACAGAATTTCTCAGAGAAAGGTAAAAAGCACTGACTCAGGAAGGATAGATTATGTCAATACAGAAAGATAGTAGTAGTCAGTCCCTTGCTATTTTGTGGCTTGACTTTTGCAGACTGTTTCGTAGGTTTTCAAAAAATATTAATCTGAATTATTTATTGTGGATTTCTCATACTGTGGGATTTTGCAGTAGTGTACAGTTGTACGTTTGTTAAAATTACGTAGGCTTACAAGTTTAGAAAATGGTTAAGAACATTAGAAATGTTTTTAAAAGTTTGGGAAAGGCTTGTAAGAGCATGGGAAGGGTTTATAAAGCTTTAAAATATATATAAATACTAAAATAAATGTAACATCACTACTTCACTGATTTTCACTTATCGCGGGGTGTCTGGAATGTGGCCTCCACAGTAAGTGAGGGACTCCTGCATACAGAGAAAGAAACCCAGCTATTTCTCCTCCCAACAAAAATGCCTTT